ATCCACTGCTGGTGACAGACTCAGCCCCTCTGGTTCAGGATGCTTTGCCTTTGGTTTGTTTTACTTTCGGCCCCGGATCGATACCTGCCCCAGTCTAGCTCTCTGTTCCCACCCATGCACACAGGACACATGCTCTGAACCTGGAGGAGGTGTGTGTGTGCTTAGAGGTTTGTTGTGGATCCCGAGGCAGGACAAGGAGGGTGTTGTGCACCACTTCTCAACAGACATACGGCGAGATTTCGGCTGTGGATCTCCTCTCCCTCCCCCTCTCATCTGTCGAATGGACCCTTTCCTTGCTGTTTTAAGTTTCACTTACATTATAATGAGTCGTAACATGGAAAAGGAAAGATGATGGAATTGTCTTTGTGTTTGTTTTGGGCTCAATCACTGGGCATCCTGTCCTGGGCAACTATTTAACACTCCATCTAGTACAGTAGAAGCCGAAATCAGCGGAGTATTTTTCAATTAAAAAGGGGAAAGAACTAATGAGTTTAGCTACTGAGTCCATTTTTATGATTTCTGTAACAAGAGCTATGTTAAAGTAAACACTTGGTGGTGGTTTTATTAAATTTACTCCTGTATAGGAATTCCTCCTGTGGTATTTTTCGCCAGGCAAGTGTCCTCCAGGCCTCCTGCCACTCTGCCAGCTTCCAGGGGCAGTGAAGTTGTCGAGGGGTGAAATGCAAAGGGCAGATCCCAGGCAGGACTGTAACACCAAGTGCTGTTTCCAGTGGGTTCTGGAGTTACTTCAGCTCCCTCACCAATGCTCCAGGGATGTAGTTTTGTCCCTGGTACCTGCTTTTCCCTTCATTTGCCCTGGAAATCAAACGTGAGGGTTTGCAGTTCGTTTCCTGGTGCTGCTGGGAGGGGTGGGACAGTGACAGCACGGGCACTGCCTCCACCAGTCCCTACTCACAGGTACCGCTTGGGCTTCTGTTGGGAATTCTCCATCCGTGGATTAAACCCTTGAGCGCTGGAGCGCGGTGGGCTGGGCAGGTGGAAGCACAGAGGTGTTGAGGTTTCACTCCGTGTTCCCCAGAAGGAACACACCGAGGAGCCCCGCGGAGTCTGTCGCGCCTGCAGTCCGATGGCTCACGGCAACGCTCGCCCTGCACGGGGCAGGACCTGCTGCTCTTCTCTCCTCTCCGGTGCGTTTCGAGTGCTGCCAGGCGAGTTACCCGGCTGGGAGACACCAGCCCAGCTGACACTCGCTGTGTGGGAACAGAACGGACAAAACAACAGCCGAACATCCCTCCCTGCTGCTGTCCGAGGGAATGAGGGGAGTGGGGGCTGCGGCCCCTCCGCGCGGCCCGTCCGGGCGTCCTACCCCTGACTGTGACCGCAGCGAGCCCAGAGCGGGGCGCGAAGCGAACCCCATAACGGGGCGCGAAGCGAACCCCATAACGGGGCGCGGTGAGTCCGTAACAGGGTGAGCAGTGTCCCTACATAACGTGAGGCGCAATGAGCCCATCACCTAACGTGAGGGGCAGTGAGCCCGTAACAGGGTGAGCAGGGACCCCATAACGGGGCGCGAAGCGAACCCCATAACGGGGCGCAGTGTCCCTCATAACGTGAGGTGCGGTGAGCCCATAATGGGGCGCGGTGAGTCCGTAACAGGGTGAGCAGTGTCCCTACATAACGTGAGGCGCAATGAGCCCATAACGGGGAGCGCAGTGTCTCCGTAACCGGGGTGCAGGGACCCCATAACGTGAGGCACAGTGAGCCCATAACGGGG